CGGAATGGCTTGACGCTAGCATCAAGAAACCGAGACTTGATACCGGGCCCGTTCTCCAGCGCCCCACTTCTCAAGGGCGAGAAGCCCACTTTAGATGAGACTCTCGTCCCTGGGAGAAGCTCATCGTGGTAGTTGTTGTTGTTATTGAGGGAGTCGGTATAGCAGCGCCTGCATCATTACCGAAATCGCTCACTCGACGAAGGTATCCGACACCGCCAAGACTCCCGCTATCTACGACTTGGGAGTGAAGCATAATGTCCGCAAAGTTTTCGCGAAACTCCGAGAATCTCTTGAATAAAAATTCCCCAAACTCTAGTCCTCATTTCGGATCTCCGTCCTCTAACACTATACACCACGCGAGTGGATAGACGAGCTTGAATCCACTTCGCCCATTGGTTTTGGAAAATTCGGAACGTGATCGGATTGATGTTCCCAATGAATCACTGATCAGAGGGATTTCCTACGTTTCATCGAGGTCCCGCTTCCGAGTTATTTCCGAGTCTTCCTCCCCGATCGAAGCCATATCAGGCCGGATCAGCAGAAGATCGGGATACGCGGACACTGATATAACGTGGCCTGGCGGGCCGCGATCGCGCTCGCTGCCTCTGGTATGTCTCGCAAGCGGAGATTAGCTGTGCAGATGTCATCGGCAGGGGGAACGGAAGCGAGCCAGACCCGAGCTTGTCTGCTTGACAGCCAGCAACCCAGTTCAGCAGACAAGCGACCGCAGACCGAAAGACAAGCATAAACCGATCTATCAATAAAACCCGCAGCCCCAAGGAGCTTGTTACGTTCCTTCGGGATGTCTGCTCTCACTTGCTGGTTGTTAGTGGGCTAGACGAAGCGAGTCAACTTATCTCCGTCGCTGAAGCTCCTATAGTCTATACTCAGATGTGTCGGAGTAATTTGTGGAGGGGAGAATGGCTCACAAGACATACAGGGGACTGCGGGGGCTGCGGAATTCATTCAAAAAAATGTCAGTTCCGACTTCTGAAGGATGAGCGGACTGTAGGTGAAGTTCGGGCTATATCCGAACATAACTCCCCTCGGCTCTGCAGCATTGACTGGCGCACAACACGGAGTCCGCCCATTGGACATTCTCTGAATGGATGTACGTGCTGTCGAATCGATTGTTGACATGAATACTGAGCGCTTCCTAATTTTGTCCATTCGCTAATATGGGATCTGGATCATTTTTTGTCCGGGGGTAGTCGAGCGTTGAGGAGTCTCCACGACGGCGTAAACGTCGAGAGCGATGTTGATGTCGCGGGCTTCGTGCCACGCCGCGCCGCTAACCCACGATCCAAAAGCATTCTCCAGGCTCTTGCCTGGCGCATATTCCCGTCGATAACCTTGGCAGAGCTCTCAAGACGACCCGAGAACTGTTCGATTGAGCCTACCGCCGTTTCACAACTCATGGAATTTCCTCCAACTCGAAGCCCGGAATCTGAATCAGGCGTATTGCCCTGGGTCGGACAATTACTCTCAGCGTTGGCGCCGCGTCGGCTCGTATGCGAAAGAGCTAGCCTGTTGTTCCATGAGCTGTACCGGTTTCGGAATTCATTCCTGCTCTGTATCCATGAGCCCCCATGGAGATCCCACCCGTGATCCGAGTTTCGAGGAGGAGGGTCTTCCGCGAGTGAGCGATATGCCATCTTTTCTCCGCAAAAGACGCATGTTTGACCATCCTCCAGCCTCCCCAAACGTGCTCCTTCCCTCCGGTCCCGTTTCCTTGCTTCCTCCCGACCTTGAAATCTCTCCACGAAATTCCATAGTCATGAGGGAATGCGGTGGGGAGAAGCACACATTTGAAACACAGTCCTGCTCGATTTGACGCGACGCTATTCAGGAGAAGATGGGGGAATTTTCAAGATTCAGAGATTTCTAGATCGGACCCTGAAAAAACCGTCGTCGAGGATACCCAATTTTCTGGCCAAATGAGCGGATTCGAGACCCATATGGGACGCGCGGACTGCTAGGGGGAAACTGGCCACCGGGTCGCGTTGACCGAATATCCGGCCGGTGATACTTCGATAATCACAACTCGATAAGCACGCACCGAGCGACGAGCGCATGCGAATATATTCATGTACGTCAAGCTTGACTGCGTCGACTGAATTCGGTGTAGGAAGCTGCGTGCCCCTCAGAGGTCGTAGACGAAAATTCCAGGGTGGTCAAAATTGCGGGGATGCCCTTTCTCAGTTTAGTGCCATCGTCAGATCCCGAGATAGTTGAGCCCGCTCATTCAGTATCGAGCCAGAGGGTGAATTCGTAGTGGCGGGTCTACACATGAACTTCAGGAACTTTCGCCGAACGCTCAATGCGATCCGAATCCCAGGGAGCGGAATTGCCGGCTTGAGGGGCACTGGTTCTGTCGCAGGAGTCGACCCCAGATTCTCTCAGCCGAGCGGGATGCAAACCTCCTCCGAGAGCGAATCCTTCCCCTTTGTAAAACTAACGGCGTCTCTTCGGATCGTCCGCGAAGCTCAGTCAGACTGAACATCGCAATAGGCATGAGATCATCTCAATCCCCAGATCATCCTCTTACCTTTAAAGGATGTAGTTCCATAGCTGCTCAAGGTCGACCACTTACGGGGCCTCGACCCCAAGTTTTGTCATCAACGGATCAAATAATTTCATCAGGAGCCCAGAGCGGGATCCGGTATTAGTTAGGGCAACCCAAGAATATTGCTCCTCGAAGAACCACCGACCCGTTAGAAGAACCGCTATCCTGACGCGACGGCAAACGCCGGAACGGATGCCATCTCAGGCTTGTATCCTAACAAAGTGAGCGTCGCATGCCTGGCTCTTGTCTGTCTCATCTATTGTATCCTATTCGGATCCCGTCTCCACAATGAACGGGGTCGATTCAGCTTGAAGTCGTATGAAGAGAATCGATCGCCTGACTAAATTCAGAAGACTCACCTGAATCCTTTGATACAGATGGACCTGAAGCCTTTCGAATTCCCTCCCAGGAGAGGAGTTCAGTTTCTGTCCCCCAACAGCTCGGATTCGTATTGTTAGCGCACTGCTCCGCGCTGATATCACGACTTACCACCGCTTCAGAAGCTCTCTGGGCTCTGGATTCGAGCACACTGATTTGTGAAAATTTTCCGAGAATTGCCGGAAAAGCCGACCGAGAACGTCGTGGAGACATTTTCCCTCATCCCCATCCACCCCTGGGCCGTCCATCTCGGGTACACTGTTTTAAGCATCTGAAACACTATTCAAGATAGAATAGTCGCGAGGCCCAGCCTATCGCGAGGATCTCCAAGAGAATGAATGCGCTGAAACATGGGTCAATGCTTGTACTCCACCGACGACAGCTCCTGGAAAGACTGCCCGCGCATGTTCCTCCCATCCGAGAGCATCGACACGTTCAGATATTGTGCCTACGACAGAAGTTCGGGTTCTGCCGGATTAATTCGCAAGTGCCTTTCGAACGTCCGAGCTCGATTCTCCCGGAGGGATTTCCAGCGGTGCAAATTGTGTGCATTGTTTCGCTGGTGACAAAGCTTATCAAGGTAAGTGGCGACTGCCGAAATCTCAGGATGACAGCTCTTTTGTCCGCGAACCGGAATGCATTCCGCCCGATTGGCGAGAAAACACAAAAAGCAGAAAGCCTTGGGCATCGACAAGAATAGCCCTCCTCGAGCAGCGAGCACGGACTCGGCTGCATTCTCGCAAGCCTGCCTATTCGTGCTCTTTCTCGGATTGCGGTGGTTCTCCCGGACCCTCGATCGAATCTCGGGATCCACCTTCAAGTTAGAGCTGTGTATTTCCACGCCAAAACTAGCATTCTTTCGATGGAGACTCATAGATGAGAACGATTGCCGAATGACTGAAGTCTTCGCTCGAATATTATCCCCTGCGGAAAGAATCCTACCAGAGGGAAGGAAATCGCCTACGGGGTGAACGGTCCCGCGAAGATCCGATGACGCTCCGCAGGAAACGACCTGAAATAGCCGTTCGACTAAAAAAGGAGCAAGATTTCCGTGCGCCAAGGCTCCGAGGTGACACCTGGCCGCTTTCTCGGAGCTTGCTGCTCGTGCTGTCCGCATTCTCGGTTTTGGGCTCTGCGCGGTAGGAGTGCCGCCTCATGAGGCCGGGGACAAGGTGTAAAATTAGCCGTAGATGTTGATCGCTCCATAAGCTGAGCGATCCCAGCGAACGTTTCATGTTTCCGGAAGGAATCCGAAAACGTGCGACTCCAGATGCGCCGGCGACTCTCATGTGGTCCGAGGAACTTGTACATCAGAAGTCGGTGACATTCATCGAGTATTCTGTACGAGCGTCAGCTGGAGATTCGGTCGCTTACGCGGGGGCGGTTAATCTCGACGCTCGCTCCACGGCCTGCTAGGACAGCGGATAGCTAGTTGGAAGAGTCACGCTTGAGTGAGCGGAGCCCAGCGAAGCCGATACAGAAAGCTCGTCCCTCCGCTCATCCTACCCGCCGCTTCAAATCGGCGATGCCGAGCATGGGAATCTTAGAGTGATAAGCCATGCGGCTTGTATCGAATAAAAGGCTCGACACAGCGTCTGCAGGACACATCCGAGCGTGAGGCTCATCCCGCGCTGCAGGGGGCTTCTCCGAACGGGTCTCGGTGCGTCGGCTCAATGTAGATATTCACTCATTGCGTTTCGTCGATTTCGCAAGTAGCCCTCAGCCGTCGCTGTTAGAGCTACCCGGAAGCTGTCACCTGAGACTCACCTGCTACCTAACGCTTGAGAGCGCCATTGGTCTAACAGTGAAGGGCCAGCCTTCGCCTCGCTTCCAAGTGATTGAATCCAGTAATAGACTAGCGGAAGATAGTGGAAACTGAGTGGAACCGGAGCGTGGTCGCTAGAATCGTCGAATATCGTAAGGCAGTTCCGAAGATGGGATGATCTAACGACCAGAATGAATCACCGTTATAACACTCAGGATGACCCGATGGAATCCTTCTCAGATATAAGACACGAGGATAGGTCGGGTTCCGTGTCCCCACAGAGTTTATTCTCGGATTATACGATGCGCCCTTTGGATGGTTTCAGTAACGATTGTGGAGAAGTCCACTAGTATATTTGTAACATCATTTCAGATAATTGTGCTCAACGATGAAATCGACCGCAGCGTTGAAATTGGCTACGTGTGCCGTCGGATGACTTTTGAGCTCGTCTCCCGCGAGGTATTTCCCCGTTCTCACCAGAATAGCTCCCATGCCGAAATCCAGCGCTCCCTGGATATCATCCATGATGTCCTGAGTGGGTTGGGAGTCAAAAAGCATTGGGTTAGAGGGGATCTCACTTTTGGGGATCGACGACCTCGGAGAGAGCTCTTGGGATGAACTTACGTCGCCAATCATGACAGCTTCCTTCGCGTCATCAGTCAGTCCCTCCAACGCTTGCGCGAAAAACCTCTTATTTGGTTTACCCACAACTTCCGCGGTGACCCCGGTGGCGTACTCTAGGGCAGCAACAAACGGACCACTACCGAGAGATAGTCCCTTATCATCCCGGAAATAACGGCCCTTGTGTATCGCCACAAGCTGTCCGCCGTTCAGGATCACTTGGAACGCCTAGAATGAAGTGCGGGATGGTATATTCATCGTTTTCGGATTATTCGTAAGATGGAGCTCTCGGATATGAATTAATCTCACCTCATTCAGTTTCGAGTAGACAAACTTGTCCGGAGCGAGGCCGACTAGTACGGCGTTATGATTCTGGAGTCCCTGGTATTCGTGGAAGTCCTCCATGGCGTCGTCGTGAACGAGAAGGTAAGGACGGTAACGGTGGTTCCTGGAAGGAAAATCAATGAATGTGTCGCGATCTCGAACACGGCCAACGTGAATTGCCGAAGGCGAGAATCATCTCGAGCTCTCCCTCTCAAGCATTTTTGGCTCCTCTTGGGAATCGGTACCCGAATCTCACCTGACATATTCTCTGGCCGCGATCAGAGAGGAGAAAATCTCGTTCCGATCGATTTCGAAACCGAGATCGATAAGTCTTTGGTATAATTTCCCCGAGCTCTCCTTTGTAGTGTTCGTCACGAAGCGGACCTTCACGCCGGCTTGCCGCAGTCTGAATAACAGATAGGAGCAAAGCATGAACAGAAAGTACTTATCGAAGGACGACGGTTCCTTAAGACGACCTTGTCTAATAAGACACATCGGAAAGGTTTCATATCGCGCACGCCGTACCGTGCAAGCGCCTCCGGGGCACCGGTAGTGACGTGATTTCCAATGTGAAGGGTCCCACTGAGATCAATGAGCGCTACTTTGATCTTTCCGAAATTTTTCGCGGCTGACATGATTCGTTACCGGGGAAAATTTGCAACAGGCTCTCCAATACCATTAATTACTCGGATTGTCAAGCACGGTATCACCGGTGATTATGAATTTGATTGAGGGAAGCTCCTCATCGCAAACACTAAGGAACAGCTGGACCGCGTCTTGGAGATGTCAGACACGTCCGTCCATTAGCGTTAAATCTCGGAAGAGCATTGAGCATCCCCTTAGTAGCATCAGCTGAGCGACTGGCGGAACCTCGGTTAGGCAACGACCTTCCCGGCACGTCACCCTCGAAAGGCCATCGGACCGAGTTTCTCGGAATATCTGGCATCTCTATAAAAACTCGACATCGTGTAGCTCAGAGCGTGACTAGCGTCAGACAGCTCCAGACACAGACAATATTTTGGAGCTGGTCTGGTGAAAGTTATGATCGCTCGCGGTCTGTTTTCAAGACTCCACCTTTCTGTGAAGCCATCGAGCATCACCCCGAGTTGCCGAACTTTTTTTCGGGTCGTCGATCCGGGTCGAGTTGGTGCGGCGACTCGTCCGCTAATTTCACCTCGTGCTTCGTTCCTCAAAACTTCAGCCGTGAGTTCTGCCGCCTCCCAGGCACCTTCTGCCTCCGGTTCGTCACCAGCTGCTTTCTCGACGAAAGCGATGGACACCACCGACAGGGTAGAAGATCCGAAAAATGTCAGCGAGGAGGAATGGCGACGTAAGCTGGACAAAACGACCTTCAAAGTGTGCCGACTCAAGGGCACGGAGCACCCCGGCTCTGGGAAGTACTTGCACCATTCGGAGAAAGGTACCTACATATGTGTGTGCTGCCGAGCCAATCTATTCCGTTCCGAGGACAAATTCAATCACTGCGGATGGCCGAGTTTCCGGCAGGCGATGGACACCGCTAAAGACGGGAAAGAAGACGCGACAAATGTCAAACGGGAATATGACAGCTCTCACGGAATGGAACGCGTCGAGGTTCTTTGTAAAAAGTGCGATAGTCATCTTGGGCACGTTTTCACCGACGGTCCCGAACCCTTCGGGAGACGTTTCTGTATAAACTCGGTCTCTCTGGATTTCGTGAAGGATTGATTTTGATATTTTTGGTAGAATTTCGGTCGGAACTCGAGGCATGAGTAGTCAGTCGAGGAATTCACGTGTTGGTATTGTGTCCGTGATGAAGACTTTAGCCTTACACAAAAGATGGAGTCCGTCTCGCTCGGGTGGTGTTGTAAAGTTAATATCTGTGGAATAAAAGTCGAATATCGGGAGCGGAACGTTCCCCAAGAATATCATTGCTTCCTCCTCTAAATCCGTGATTCGAGAAGCGCGAGTGCACCTACATGGTGACGCAGTTCACTGTCCCTGGCGAGAGGGAGCTGTTTGATGAATGTTCAGTTTGAGCACGTGGCTACCGTCCAGCTAATCTTACCAGGCTGAGTCGAAAGTTGAATTCAGCACTAGAAATGAGAATCAAGGCGAGAATCAAGCGCGACATCTGAATCCTTGTCTTCCAGCTAGCGATTGTCAGCACTGTCTATGCACTTGAACAACTCTCAAGGCTCTTCCGATCCACGAATCTCACATCAGGCTCTCTGCTCACTATCCACGGCGTTCGACCGTCGATGACCGCCATGAACACATATTTGCTTCAAAATTTCTGAACAATCGGAATCCTCAATGACGATCGGGGAACAGGACTTCATCATTCTAGGCATTTGAGATTTCTGCTCGACACAGACATCACCTGATCCCACCGCGCTCGTCTTCGATGTATTCCAGGTTTCCCATCCATTAGCTCATCAATAGAAACCCCGAATTCCGAGCATTTCATATTTTCCGTTTTAGTTAGTATAAAGCTCGAACGCTCTGCGAGAGGATCCCAAAATCTATGGATGGAGCTCATGGGTCTTCTCGACGCCCGCGCCTAAGGCGGGATTGGCGCGTCCTTTCTCAAGTACGCGCGGAACCTCCTTGCCGCGTGGAACGGGTTTTGCTCTGAGGAATGCTCCTCATTCGACCGAACGTTTCTGCCAGCGGAGGGGTCTCGCGACACTCGTTGGCGAGAAGCATCGGCCGTAGCGAAGAGAGTGGAACGAGAAGTCAGCGAGCAGAAGAATCAGTGTTTTGACGATGGCAGGAGAACTCGATAAACTACCCGAATCCGAGTGGCGGAAACGTCTCCCGCAGGAATCGTACGCAGTTTGTCGTTTGAAAGGGACCGAGATCGAAGGTTCAGGTTTGTTTCTCTCGTATGTACATTGGACGAATGTACATACAGAGCGAGAGAATCTCCACGCCGTCCCGTGCGGTCGCTGTATCTGGATGCACGACACGATGGATGATTCGGACGGCTGAATAAGCGTTATGCATATCTTCTGTTCCTCAAGTTGCTAAACGATGATAACTAACTGAATGGGATTTCCGTTTGGCACAGGAAAATTCTTAGATCACTGGGAGAAAGGAATATACGTCTGCATTGGATGCAAAGTTCCGCTGTTCAGATCCGAGGACAAGTTCAAACACTGTGGTTGGCCGAGTTTCTCGAAAGCTATCGGCACTGCAGATGATGGATCCGAAGACGATACATACATCGCTAGGAGGTGGATGTTCAAAGTTTCTCCATTTTCCCTCGACCCCTGAGCCTGAAAACCTTCGATTTTTCTGCACTAGCTCCGCAACATCCACAGAAAACCTAAGACCGATTGCCGCAATCACAAGATTCGAGCGGAGCATCTTTCCAGGTACGACGGTGTCAACAAGGATCGGGAGATGCAAGAGACCTTCTGTCGGAAATGTGGCTGCCATATCGGCCACGTCTTCAACGATGGACCGGCGCCGTTCTCCAGGAGATTCTGCACGAACTCGGTATCCCTGGAGTTCACGAAAGCCTGAAACCGACCCCCGATCGTATTCCTAATCGCCCTCACCATGAAATCGGGGACGAAACTCGATTTCACGACTACATGATCGGTTGAGAGTTCTTATGTCACCTATTCGGATTCGGTCTATTTTTTCCTAATATTTTTCCGGAACAAATCCCTAGCGCGGTCAGTCGGGGCCTACTTTCTGTGGAATCGCCTTCCTCTGGGAATTCCAAATAAACACATTCGAAATATTTGCCCATCTGAATTACTAGACAAATGAGCCCATAATCTCCGTAGGGAACCTTGTCGTGGGGGATATCTGTTCAACGAAGTCGAGAGCGTCATAATTTCCCTAATTGTTCAGAATACGACAAAAACATACGGAGCTGCGTTGCTCCTCAGCGACGAAAAACATCGACGACGTGCTCCCGGGAACGGCTGGTGGCCGCGGGAAGAACTCGGAGCGAGACAGCGGGGCCGTATCATGGATTAGGTCGAGCACAAATGATTACGACACCACAATCCACTCAAACTAATTTATGTCGACATCAAATTTCGGAGGCTACGAACTGAGGGACGGGAGAACCTCCACAACGGCGCGCGCAGATTGAAATTACCCGCATGCATGAATATGCGTGAATGTGAGTGACAATTCATCAGTGGAGAACATGATCCACGATGAAAAGCCGAGATTTTCCACTCGGAACTAGCGTGCTCTGAAGGAGCTCTGATCTGATGAATTTCATAATCTCCCGGAATAATGGTCCCCGTGACGTTTCGAAAGCCCCGCTACAAAGTGATCGATATAAATCCGAATTTCGCAAAGTTCAAGAACTTACGAAATTGCATGAAATTCGAAATGTGACCTAGATCTGCAAGTGAGCAACCCACGCAGTGACTCCGCGTGGATTTCATTGAGCCCAACGTATCGAATAATAGACGTGGAAGAATAAGGCTCATCAGTGATATTCATCCCTTGCTCATCCCTTGGATAGATTAATCCGTGCTCCGGTCCTCTCCTCGGATGTTCAGAATCGGACTCCATCAGTCGAATTAGGAGCAGGCCTCGAACGGAGGCATACCTTCAGTCGAATTTCTCTATCTGGAGAGCTAGTTGACCCAGATCAGGCCAATATTACCTGTGAAAGCATCGGGTCGAGCCGATAACACGATCGGAGATTTCCCGTCTAGAAGAATGAGGGGATGAATGCGGTATAGGTCGTACACCTACTTCGCCGGAGAATTCTTTTTCATCCAAAAGATCAAAAGCAGCGAAAAAAGTCTCTGGGAGGCCTGTAATTCGTCGGTCACTGCGCGGGAGCGCCAAGGAGAACCTTGACGTCGTAAGTTCCATTCCCTCATGAACGGAGTGACTCGACATGGCTGTGATTCGGATCTTGAGCAGGAGATGAAGTCCTCGGGACTCGTTCTGTTTTATCGTCATATCGATTTCGAATGGAGGCACCAATCGGGAAGCCGGCGGAAGGAGGAATGCCAAACTTGGGAAGCTCGTGGCGTGCAGTCAAACGAGTTTCACTGCGCACCGGTCGATGCCCCTCAGCCCCAATCTCATTAAACATCTCGCGGGTTCCCATCACTTCACTTAGACGACAGACTCCGTTCTGCGAGGAGCCTCGGCCACGAAATCATCTCCGACGACTGAGTTTTCATTCCGGGAGTCTTGATGGGAAAATTTCACTTCCCCTCAGGAACCCGAATGGTGAGGAAACGACTTCCGGCAACCCGAAAGGGGGGAGACGGGACGGGGTCGGGGATCTGCTGTGAACTGTCGAAGACGTCTTTTGTCCTGTGGGGTCGGCCCGCAAATATGCCCGTCATCTTGCTAGCTAGGCAGGCGACTGACGAATGCAGTATCGACATTTGTTGAGTTGCAGGAGGGAAAGCCGTTTGTGTGCATTGAGGAATGCGTCTGAGACCTGTCGAATTCCGGAGTGTCACGCATCGAGAGACGTTCGGTTCGCCCGCCCGCGGTCTCTCCAATCTACGGTCCATCCGTGCATCCCTCCATGAGGAAAACTTGGCGGAACCCTTCGCACTTTTGAACTCCAAGTTTATTCCCGAAGCAATCATCGCATTTCACGATTGTTCCCGTTGAAGCGCGTACCCTCATCGGAATACTTTTGGAGCCACGAATTCCCCCCTTGACATGGCGAGAAAGGGACCGAGGCAAGTTCCTCAAATGCTTCCGAAGGAGAATCCCTCGTAAGGGATTCCGAATCATGATTTCCGAGTGGCGGGGCTGTTCCGAATTCCGCTCATTTTTCATGGAGAGGGCGTTCACGAAGCAGAGCGAAACAAATCTAATGGAAGAACACCAGCGTCGTTAGTCGGATGAGAAATGCACTGCTGCGACGCCGCATACCTGGAAATAGCTGGAGCCAGATCGCGGGGTTTACCTTCTTCGTCTTTTTGACAAGAATCCATTGTTGGGATCCTTCCCGCAGGATAAATAGCAAACATGTCTGAACTCCGAGACTTCTGCTCCAGATGAGCCGCCTGCAAGTAGGGTGACCTCGTCTTGGTCAACTTATGCACGCAACCTATTCCCCTCCTTGGTTTCAGCTCCGTCATGCTGAGATGGCTGCACAAGAACTTATATTCCGAATGTTCTCCTGATGTTTACTCCGCGCCCCCTGGTCTATGATCGCGGCAATGCGCTCACCTTGCCCAGCTTGCAATGAAAACTGTGCTCCACGGTCGATTCGGCAGAACTCTGACCTCACGCTCTATTAGCGGAAGGGTCCGATCCTTGCGATGCGGGGATCCACATCCAATTGACTCGGCCTGGTTTCGCTTGATGCTGATGCCTGTAGTGCATGGAAGAGCGGGAATGGCACCAAATGATACAGGAATATTTCACGGAGCGCGGGCTCTGTTACTGCGGATTCGCTGCTCCACGCTCCCGTATTCCCGTATCATCAGTTTGGGTAGATTTCTATTTCATCGGCTCTTTCTTTCTCGTTTCCTCTATGTTTCTCACATCATTTCACATTTTTTTCTTTTGGGTTGTCCAAGCGAGGACGCGAGGTTCGTACAAGGTTCGGCACTCGATCGAATATCGACAAATTTATTCCTGCGAACGCGATCGATGGTCCTTAGAACAATTCACGGTACTATTTGGCTCTTCCCCCGCACTGTTTCATCGTCTCTCTTGAAGGGGGAAAATTTAATTCATGGAGTTGGAATTAGGTGCAGTGCGGGCACCAAAGAGTGTGAGACATGACCTCTATCGCAGGTCTTTCGTGAAGCCGATCCTTGGTTGGCTCCAATCGGAATCGTCATCTCACCCGAGGCCGAGATCATAATCACGTTCCGTTATAGATAGAGGTTAGTCAGAGTCGGAATGCGTATCAGAGAGAATAAAAGAAGTTTATAAGAAAGTAGACACATCGCTCCCCTCAGACAGCCTGGGAGCGATGATAGGGAACTCGGAAATTCAGATGCACGTCCGAAACGAACATAAAGACGACACAGACATCATCCTCCCCGCTGACAGTATGACGTCGTGCTCCGCTCGAGTGTTTTCCGAGCCTCGGTGTGATCTGACGGATCCTCGCGGCCTCCCCCGATCTCTGCACCAACCGATCATCTCAATAAGAAGACCACAGCTTCCTTCCGTTCAACTTCTTGGGCGCATGAGCAGTATTGCAAGACGGAAGTGGGCTCTTTGTCCTGCAGGCCTTTCTGTCAACTGAGCTCGCATATCCGCGACGCTCGAATACGCACAAGTGGTCGTGAGTCTGACAAGGCTCCTCCTGAGTGTATTGGCAGAGGCGGACCTAGCAGAGGAAACCAAGGGGCCTCTGGGAGGGATATTCGGTCGTTGTTGAGTAGGTGAAATCGGGTCCGGACAGATTCAAATGTGTGCAAACGTTTACTACTATAATGTTTAGAGTTTGAAAATATATTCGCCTCCAACAGGAAGTCACGGGCGAGCCCCTGTGTACTGGTGGCGCTCTCCGTAGCTTTTAGTCATGACTGCGGCGGAATGAATGTGGGAATGAATCCCGATTCTTCCCGGCGCTTGCACCGAGTCTTTAAGATATCTTTTCTATTCCTCAAAGAGCCTAAGGATCCGGAATCGTCTCCACTTATTCAGTCGATCCCAGAAAAGGAAAAAGAAGAGTTGCTTTTCAGAATAGTTGATCGGGTATGATCTCAGGGATCATCCAAGAAATTATGTCTCGCTGTTCGTTTTTGAGACGATTCCCCTCCCTTAATCTGACAGCTTCAAGCTCATTGACGGAATTGACGTCTTCGTCTTGGTCCCGAATGATTTCACTGAGTGAATTGTCGAGGATCACAGAAGCTCCAACAAGGATTCCGTGCCCCCCTAAAACTGCCGCCCCTGTCTATAGCCTACTAAGCCTAGTGGGTAAATCCGCCACTGCATGACTGCCTTCATTTCCTCTGCCTAAATGAGCCGAACCCTTCCCACCTCTGAGATTCTTATAAAAAAAAAATCATCTCCGAGTTCTGATTATGTTCAAGGTTCCAAGGCCTTTCCTCTACCCTAACCTCCTCCCCGAGACCCGAGACTCCCGAGATACTCAGTTCGTGATCGAAAGTCAGAAGCGTCGACATATCCAACGCAGCGAAAGGTTCTCCTTCGGTGGGTTGACGGTGTTCCACCTGGGCTTAATTTCCACTCAGTCAGATCTTTAAGAGTATGCGCTTATAGCGCACCATGGGGGACTTCGAATACAGCTCATTGCGTCGGCATTCGACCTTGCTACACCGCGCTTATTCTCTTTTACCCAAGAACATCATAAAGGTACTCAGCTCTCGAAAGCTCAATATTTATTTGGAAGCGGAAATCCGTGTAAGATCAACTCGGGCATTCGAGGGCGAAGCGGACTAGAACTTTCCGAGGAATTGAATATTCTTTCTCTTCTCCGCTCAAGGTCTTCAATAGGAACTAGGGCATGTGATGGGTCGTTCGCCGCCTAGATAACCCAACTCGTGTGAGACGGAAACTGTCAAGAACACGACATACCAGACTATCAGAATGGTGCCGTAGAGTTTCGTCATCACCCATCCACACATGTGAGTGAGGACGATGAGGAATACCAGCGTCAACAACAGATAGACCGTGAAGTAAAGCATACCTGTGGAATAATAATAGATCGTTAAGGATGTAGGAGAGTTTCTGAACGTTTTTTTGTGAATCAATTTCGGATGGAGCTCATGATACGCCACCGCGCCGATTCCGATGGAACGCTCGGTCCAAGTCGAGAGACGCACACAGCCATGCTCCCGAATGCAGAAAAAGAAATTCTTCCGTCCGGATGCCCACACTTAGCGGAGCGCGCCCACCTGACCATCGGAGTTGGGTGCAGATATTCGAGAAGCGTTCTATGAGCTTCCCCGTCCCGGGACAGTGATCCCGTGGTCTTGTTCGCACTCAAACATTGACCTGGTTCTATGATTGAGCTCCCAAGAGCTCACGACTCGTCTCGTCGAGATCCGCGAGGACGCGAATCTTTAATTACGGCTCGTGATGAGAACAGTCAGTCAGGATGCTCCCCCCCTCGACCTACATATGTACCTCGGCTCTGGAGTGAAACTGGTTGGCCTGGAGCGACGAAAAGTGTCTTCACGAGCCACGGGAGGGCGAGACCCACGAGGATCTCCACGATATTCGAAGCGATTGCATTCGAAATTGCCATGTCGGGGTGGCCTTTGCGGATGATCAGGACGCTGATCACAACGTCGGGAAGAGTGACTCCAATCGCCAAGAATGTGAGACCCATCGCCGCGTCGGGGATATCGAGGGTGAAGCCTGCGTCCATGAAATTCCCCTCGTGAGCTCTAGACTTCCAGGTCTTCGAGACCGCTCCTCCCCCATACTCCTCCTGCGTGTTCTCCGACTCACCGATTACCGATATCATCCAAACGAGGAGGTACGATGCGATGGTAATGTAGAAAACGCTCATGCATAATGCGACGACGAAAAATTTTCGACAGGTTGTTCGCAAGCAATTGGGGATCGTGAAGACGAACAGTAGTAGGAAGGGCAGGTAAAAAATCCAAAGGACCATCATGAGAGTCCCCTTTGGCGGCAATAGCTCTCCTTTGAAATACGTCAAAACGTCAAACCGAGTTCTTCCAGCGGATGCATCAGCCTTCATCTCGAAGCCGGCGGGTCTCGAAGCCGTATTCGGATCCGACTCCTTGTCGCGTCCGGAGGCTTTTCCCGAGTTTACGACAATACCTGCATGGTGATTGCATATTCAGCTTTCCCGAGGTGCCGAATGGGTCTTATACCTCAGGAATCCTCTCTCATTTCACCACATCTCCGACGGAGGTGCCGGTACTTCTGCGATAAATCAGGGGATTCTCCAGATATATTCCCGACGTACCTGCCCTCTGTGACTCACCTTCATCATGTCCAGAACTATAAGTTAGCCGGTATGAAATGACCGGTTCTGCGAAGCCTGTCAGGACGAGGAATTTAATTACATACGAAGTTCCCGAGGGTGAATCTGCCCATTCGTAGCCTATGGTTTCGTCAATGCACCATCATTTTTACTCGGATCACTCACGATTCCTTGTCAAAAATAAGAAATATAGAAAGCTGGAAGATTCCGGGTACTTTTCTTGGAGAGAAACATGAACGAGCCGCATTGAGAGAATCGAGGAAATGCATTTTCAAAAATAACAGCAGTTTCCTTGATGGGAAACAATGGGCCTGATCGATGGGTAAATTCGAAGGAAGGTTCTCTTACGTTGACGGCAGACCGCTTCGGTGACGCTGAGGATCTCCCGGGGGATCTCCGAACGACTTCGCTCGCATGATCGCGCCCACTGAAACCCGACTCTCGGTGTTACTCGAAGTCGGGGGGAAGCTCTTTACATTCGTATGGGGTTTATCGCGGAGGAAGTTGAATGTCTCCGTGAATGCCGCTCTGAGCCTCTTGTCGAAAATCATCAAGAGTATATAAACGAAGTAGAGCAGCAAGAGTCCCGTTGATTCGTACCTGTCGAGAATATTCATCTTCAGTTCGATTAAATCGCGTGAAAAGTCTTCATGCGGTGAGGATGGATGCTACGTCGGATCATCACGGACCACATGATAACGTCGTCATACATCGCGATCACCATCACCAACATGCTGAGAAAGCAAAAGGAACAGTCTCGATAAAGAGGCCAGCGGCTCAGCATCACCAACTGAAATAGGTGGCTCTCATTAATCAGCGTGTCTAGCTTGTATGCGAGAGGACAACGTGAAGAGGAAAAAATCCGCGCGATATCAGCGAGGCATGTACGATCGCGACTCGTTCCATTAATCTCTCTCCGAGCGACGGAAAAAAGCTACAATCATTCGACGAGGATCTATCGCAACGAATGAGGTGCGAGCCGGCTCGCGGACTGGAGGCGTTCTGGGCCTGATATTCCGAAAGCACCGGAACGGAAGAAAGCTCCCGAGCGGGCAACCCGATCAGCTGCTAGCTCGCCGGCATCCATGCATGTGTTCATGCTCTTTCGCGCTCGTTTTCTGATCGAATCATCCCGAGATATCGTCAATCGGACAAGTGTTCACAGATTATGGAAACACCTGAACGGACGCTTGATTATGTGTCGGATCGTGTCACCTATGTAGATATACGTGTATACGTATATTTGGATATGCGACAGACCGACAGATTGCCGTGTCGCGACGTCTGTTCTACGGATTCCCCGATAACCGGAGTCGATTATTCGTCGGACGTTCCGTTCAATCGCGAGTAGGGAGGAAATGATGCGCCGGAATGGCTGCTGTCGTCGTCGCAACGTTGAACTGACCTCGGTGGCGAATAATGCTCCGACACCCACGACGCCTGCTGAATTTAGAACAGCCGATCCCAATGCTGTGCTCACTCCGAGGTCTCCCTGTTCGGGTAGATAAGCCGTTCGAGTGTGATCGAGATGAGATGCGGTAAGTCTACGATAGGAGTTCAAAAACATAAACGAATACGCGACAATGAACTGCGGAAGAATGGTTCTCGGTACCTTCGCTATGAGGATGGCGATCAAAGACGACGCGATCGCAGGCACAGAGCTCGCTCCGGCCATGAATGTTGCCCCGGCGACGCTGTCATCGATGTTCAAGGTCTCAGTAAGCACCTGTGAATGGAGACGACGACTCAGGGCTTACCCTCATGCCAATAGCGAGCCTGAACGTACATGGAAGGGGAGCTCCTCTATTACCGGGCTCATTGGGTAGAAGCTCCGTCTCTCACCTCTATGGCCGGTATGAAGTAAGCGTCACAGAGGGTCGTCAAGCAAACGAACATGTAGATCGCGACGATCGCGTAGAGTGCTAACCATCCGCTTTTCCTCTCCTCGAAGGTGAAGTGAGGTCTCGGGAATTCCTCGACGGCAGCGGGGGAGCAGTTCGATAATGCTTCTCCGCGCGGTTTTCCTAATCCCAAAAAATCGGTCCCGTGATCATCGGTCCCAAGGAATCTTCCGTGAGACAAGCCTTCCTAAATCAGAGTTTCAAGTACTCGCTAGCTACACGCTCATCTGCTTGTGATTCCACTCTTGAGAGTGACACCTGCATGATTGATGGTTTGAGGCCATTCGTTCGAAGAACTTGACGCACATGAATTCATCCGAATGATCGGCCTGTAAAGTCCATGCTCATCGTACAAATCGATGAAAATAATTTAATCGAGACGTCCGCAGTTGCAATCGAATCGTCTAGAAATGGAATCTAGCGCGTCCGCTGGCGTGGGAGCCCTCGACTGCTCGTGAAGCCTGCGAGCGATTCCGCTTCCCATGAGCCTCCGCTATGTATGCTCGGTCTGTGAGTCGCTGGATATTCGCTCCAGACCGAGCCCGTGATCGCCTCGAAAACGTTATCAGTGTCCTTGAGACTTGACAGAACTCGAACAGAGGCGTGGGTGGTCTTGCCGGTGATGTCATCCGAGCGACGACATTTGGCAGAAAAAACATGTGTCATAGTGGCAAACGAGAGCATTCATGGATCTCACTGGGTAGGATCTTCGATTGATGCCTCACGATTGCCTGGGCGACAAATCGAATGCAATACATTAAGGACTCCCGCTCTTATTCAATGGTTCCCTTCTGAACCCAATCTTGCTCCCGCATACAATTTGCTCCGGAAAAACCGACGCATGCATTCGAAGCTTCTTGGGGTCCCGGGTAGCCGGCCGTTGTCGTTGCTGAAGAACTCCAGCAGAGGTATGAGAGGTCAGGAAGACGACATTGACGACAGGAAAATCCTCTCGCGGAATTCCCAGGAGCTATTGGAAGCGCATGAGGCCAGCTTCCCTTATATCAAGATCAATGACCCTCTAACTTGAAATTGATCACGTTCGTCCTTCAGATGAAATGCTGACTGACCTTGACATCGGACTAGTACCTAGTTTTGATTCTCTCTTGCTCCCAGGCAGTCCCTCTCTAATGAATGGATAAGATCTGATTCGATGAGAGTGTTCCGAGAGGCGAGAGCCCCCCTCTCATCGACTCGATCGGGTTTTTCCCTAAAGCAAGATAGGTCCAGATACTTAGGATTAGAAAGTCTCGTACAAAAGCATATGGAGTACCACCGGGAAGGAGGGTCCGTATACCATTTTTTTTCGTAAAACTCATGACCTCATTGTGGAATATCTCCACAACGCCTCCATCATGTTGTCGCCTCCCATGGGACGTTTGTCGACGCAGATTGAAAGGAACGCGTCCCGAGTCGAAAAATTCTGGCCCGCGCAAGGAGCATTTTTTGGCAATACTCGGGCTTCACTCGGAGACGGCCTTATTCCAACGCTGGGAGTCCTCATACTCGGGGAAACGCAGCAGCAGTGGATGCGTATTTCATCCACAAACGTAGGTACTTTAGAATACCTACGTTTACGCAATAGGACTGATATACTACCATCACTGCGTGAATCATATTTAAATTCGAGGCTTCATCGGCGGAGCTTTATTTCAGCGCGAGGGAATCGTTGAGGCATCGAGATGAGCACCAGATATTGGTTCAATAGCGTGAACCCGACAGAGTGAGCGTGGAGTGTTACGACGCCCGTCAGAATTAGGTCTTCCAGACTAAGACACTGTTAGAGATCACACGGTCGCTTCGAGACCAGTCGCATCAAGAATGGGAATGGTGCCGGTTCTCTACCGCCATTGCGGTGGGAAACACAACAGGAAGCAAGCCGGATACAATGGATGGGAATCGAAAAATTCACAACGTACCTTCTCGCGCGGAGCCGAATTCCGCCGAAGGCTCGCCCGTGGCAACTGTCTCATAAGCGATTCCCAACAGCAAGACCACGCACGACATGATCACATGTTTCCGACTCGACAACGCCCTCCGCATCTCGAACTCCATGTCTGAGATCCGTTTCCGTGAATTCTATTCGCGCAGCCCTTGGCATACGAAGCGTTTGAAATACCGCCCTCTGTTTCGATGAAGATGGTGACGAATTCACTCCTCGAGAGAGCGGGCCGGCAAGCATGTTCTGCCACCCGTCGGTTCGCCCGCCATTTACGCGGCTGGTCAGCGACCTGAGAGGAGGATCCTGGAGGAGGAACATCTGTCTGAGGCTGCATTCTGCAAATCCGGTAGACTGCCTTTGTCATAGGATACCGATGTTCGCTCTATGAACGGCTCTAAACGGCCACGGCTACGCCGGAATTGTTTGCCTCGCCTCCGTTCTCAAGTCGAGCATTCGGGGGAGAGCAATTATTGTTCCTGAAGAGTTCGTGAGTACGACTCCCGAAACGCAGCGCGGGGATCCATTGTGAGCTTCCCTCGGACCTTTCGAGAACTTCTCCAAATACCTAATTCCGCTGAGGGTCGTTCGAACACCTCAACCGCGATGAGCCCCGGCTGACCTCTTTGGAATCATGTGCCCCCGAGAAACGCTGAGTTGGATCCGGCGGTTCAGGTCCCTGGACCGAGTCCAATGATGTCCATTAGAACTCATAATTCCTTCCCCCCTACAACGTTTTCTCTGTTCCATCCGCTGACTTAGATAACTCCACCCGAGACTACACCAGAGAGAACCCGCTCTCCGTCTTCGTTACGGTCCTGCATCGGAATCCGATCGGGCCGTTGAATGCGTAAAGCCTCCGAGCACGCGACGAACGATGGGAAAAGATTGCTTGGGGACCTTACCTTGTTTCCTCTTCATGGTTCCGCATACCGCCTCGAACTCTCTCCTAGAACAGGGAAATCGAGTTATGAACCGCGGCAGAGCAGGACATGATTCAAGCACGTGTGGGGACTGAACGCCGGAAGTTCTGCATCAAGAAAGGACCGTGGATTACGGGGTGAATTTGAGGAACTTATCAAGAGACGAATGATGAAAAATCGGAAGAAGGAACAGGCACTCTTGGGGATGTATGGAGCTGCGGAGCGAAGCAGAGGAACGGCTGGGGCGGAGGAGATGGAGCGGGGCTAAGATCGAGCGCTGTGATCGAAGGTCGCAAAATGTTTCCACATGTCGATAATCAAGTATCGAGGTCAATCGATTTGTCCCAGAAGCAGCGGCATAGCTCGCGGTTCCAGGGTAGTGGCGAGTGAGCTCATTGTTTGGCGTGTCAGGATCTGGAAATATCTGAACCCCATCTTCTCGGGAGACAATGTCGCAGTCCCCGACGAGAGAGGCGAACCTTGCTCCCGGGACCACCTCGAAACCGCTTCCTCTATTTCCCCGTTTCGAGAGACTGTTCCACGGAGTAGCTCCGCTGCATCATGGCCTGATGATCTGGAAGCATGAGGTTCGAGCTCTGTGTGAGCTGCATCCCAGGAACCATAGTGACTCGATCGCCGGGTCGGTTGGGGAATTCGACCGCGGTGATCTACTGAAAGAGCGGACTCATTTTTCAACACTCGAGAAGAAGCATTGCGAAGCGCGTATCCGCGAGACTGTCGAGTGGACAATGGAAGCCAAATCGCCGCGTGTGATAATTCCTCTAACAGATTCGTGATACATTTTCCCCCCAGAGGGAATCCCCGAGTATTCCTCCATGGCTCAGCGAGGTGGTTCCATTTCCTTGAGATCCTCTCAGCAGGAGGGGAGGGACGGGGGCGGCGAGTAGAGCAAGGCCTCCGCGAGGGCGAGCATGAGAGCTGACGTGGGCCGTCCGTCCGACCGCCAGATTGCTCGAAGGATAGCAAATCTGAAAGCTCCGCTCGCGCGCTACGTGGGTGATATCGATAGGGGTGAATCATGGCTACATGGAGCTCGACTGGATACCCCGATTCGGTTCCTCAGAATGAGCTAGCGTCCTCGAAATCCCTCGGAAGATTGGGTCCCAGGGATGATATCAACGATCCTCAGCGGAAAAGATCGGAAGTAACGAAAGTCGAGGCGAACAATTTGGCGTCACTTTATTCAATAGATTTATCGTCTTTTCCGTCTGGGTTTCTCTCTATGCGAAGATGAACTCGTCCACTCCTCCCATTTATCGATTGTCGCTTCGAGAGCGGAAAAGGTTTCGGGTGATGGGGGGGCCGCTCTGACCCTGTTACTTCTGATTTGCTTCTTCGTCTCTCTTTTCTCGGCTAAGCCATGTTTGCCTTCGACCATCAGGTGCCTAGAATCTCCTCGAGGATCACAATTGAGCCAGCCGTGGATTCGTTCTCCGTGCGCTTTTCCCGGTCGGGGATGCTCTTTGTTGGGTGACACGTCGAAATCTGGCATCTCTAATTTGCCCGCTTTCTGCCGTTTCGACCTGGTCGGCTCTTTCCGACGGCGCCGTGCCCCGTAATTGGACAACACATTTAAAATTCCCGACAGTGTGAATAAACTCTTCTTGGTCTTCTTCTTCTTGACTTTCTTCGCGAGTTTCCCCTCAGCTCGATCGTCGAAGTGGTGTTTGAAGGACCTCTCAGACACGGAGCGTTCCGCCAGCGCGAGGTTCTTCCATGAGCTCTTCGTCCGCGGCATACGTCCCCCGCCCTTCAAGATCGGCATGTCTAGTTCCGAGCTCCTCTCGAAACCACCTCCCGGAATCGCGGCATGATCTTCATCGTAGTCGATGACGGAGCTCGCTGTCGCGCTAATCTTTGACGCTCGTTCCGCTACCCGACCGCCCTCGAGAGAAGTCGAGGGGCTCCTCCGAGTCTTTTTCGGTGTGCGAGGCGCTTTCTTCTTAGACGACTTCTTGACGCTCCGGGGCGACTTGTCTCTCGATGGTCTGGTGGGATTCTTGCGAGACTTCCTGGACTTGGGTACTCGTTTCGTCCCTTCTGAGGAGATCAATGTTCCACGATTATCGGTATCGGACGGGGTCGACTCATCCGAATTTCGACGAGTCTGAGTGCCCGCCTCCGTGTTCCTCCCGCGCCTTCCCTTACGAGTGCTCGACTCTCTTTCGCCACGTCTACGAGGTTTTTCTGCTTTCTTCCCCGCTTTGCCCTTTGAGGATTTGCTCCTCTTCGATGCGGGTTTCTTCTGTTCGCTTTCCCCCGACAGCATCGACTGTGGTTTGAAGCTGATCATTTTCTCGAGGGCCTTCACAAACCGTTTACGTTCGTCTTTGGGCCCTTTTTCCTTGCTAGACTTATCGTCTTTCTTTGATTTGGCTTTCTTCCGAGACGGGGAAGAACGTCTGCCCTTCCTCGAAGGCGATTTCGAAGTCGCACGTTCTTTACTCGAAACGTCTTTACGAAGTCCACGGGTCTTACGACTCTGGAGATCTCTCGGCGCTGTGTCGTCTCCCGCGCTTTCGGGTGCTCGATCTTTCCGACTCTCGGGAACCCTGCAGTCTCCCAGACTCATGTGGCGATGTAAATGCACGAGGTGTCGACATATTTCGCAACCTGCTTCAGGATCGAATCGGCTTCTACTCCGGGAGTCACGCGACTTCTTGCAAGAACGGCGGCTCTTTCGACCGTGATCGGAGAGGGCAGCACAGGCGTCACTGGAGGCCCGATTCTCGCAGTTCGTCGAGTGTCCGCAGCTCTTACTGTCGTCGAAAGCCTGCCACGGAATATGGAGCGGGGACGTCTGCACCAAGTCCACACCGCCCGAATTCGACCTCACTTCGAACTGACCCCGCACCTGGCTCCTGGAACGCCCATTCAGAGCGCAACCTATTCCCGGGTGGGAAGACGCTCTTCTACATGAGTGAGCTCGGTTGCCAGAGCTTCTCGATCTTCGTCCGGCACGTTTATGATCTCTCGCCCTTGGGGTCCTTTCTCGCATCTTCACGGTTGAAATGTGATTGCCCTGATGACGGCGTCGTGTCCCCATTTCTGGCGGCTCGGGGAGCCACGTCTGGCTATTCACCCCTCGCGGGCAACTCCTCGGCGCGTTGTTCGGGGATTTGATGCTGATCAGTATCTCATCGTCCTGTTCGTCACCTTGTTTCGCGACAGTGACCGTCATGCCCGAGGCGCATCTGTAGGCTTCCACCGGTTCGTCTTCCTGGCTCACTAGAAATCCACGAAAACGAACGGGGAAGGTTATTTTTTCGAAGAGAAAAATCTGACAGGAGAGCCAAGTGACTCCCCCGTCATAAGGAATAGCATCTCAAGATGAACTTCGGACACTGGGGCAGTGATGAGAGGATATTCCGCACCTCTCTGATGGCGCGGGGGATGGAGGACGTTCCTTGCGGGCGTCGCACGACACGGGCAGGGTCCAGTACTCTCAGGGTCCACTTCATCGAGGAATCGTCGAGCCACAGCCGGTGGCAGCGGGATCTTGGTTCCAGGAACCCCACACTTTGCACTCTCCTGACAGTCACACGCTGGGGTGTCGCCTTGCTTAGGCTCCTGATTTCCGGAATTTCCTTGGCGGCGTTGCCGACCCTGTCGAGAGGGTTATCCGTGGAGTGATATATTTCGATAATTATCCCGAGATGGATGAACTCAGGGAAATCACTGACCTCGCGCGCGAGCAATCGCAGATTCTTGTTCTCGAGAATACTTTTCAGGGCCTTGATGGCCTTCTTACGGGCCTCCTTCCTCTTGGCAACGGCTTCTTTAGTTCTCGGGGTGGCGGTCGATAAGTGCGCCGGGCTCGTGCTATCCTCCGCTAGCAGAGCAGCGGACGTCATACAGGGTACTTCTCTGATATGGAGATCCGTGATGGCATTCGGATTTCGGTTTTTTCTTCTCGCGGTCGCCGCGCTTTCATCCTGACGGCCCATAGCGAGTCCACCGAGGGTCACAGAATCCATATCTTCGCTACAATGACAATCCTCGAGATCGTATACCTTGGTCACCATCACTCTGTTTACATTCAATTTCTTCCTCGCGGATTTCTTGTCTATCTCGCTGTCTCTCTGTTCGTTTTGAACACAGTCTGAGGGTTTCACGGAGACTTTCTTCGAGTCTCGCGGTTTTTCCGTGTCCTTGCTCGAAGTTTTCTCCGGGGCAGCCTCTCTTGCGACATGGTCTGCGGCCTTTTCCACGTTCTCTCTGATATCTCGCGTGACCGAATTATTCGCGGCTTTCGACAGCGCATCCCTCGCCGTTTCGCGATCCCCGACGATCTCGCCGGTGGGACTGCGGGGTGGCGCGGGGCTCGGCGGGGTTTTTTTTGTTTTCCCGAAGCCAGCGCTCAGCCTCGTTGATAATTTTTTCTCCCTAGAAGAGGTGCACAGTGATACGCGAAAGCGAATACGTCTCTCTCGGGGCAGTTAGGTCTCCAATTCGTATTCCATCTGGAATTAGCATTACGGATGGGACGAACCGTTCAAAATTCGTCTCTCCCTGCTCCGTGGAGGGAATGAATTTCGTTCGTTGAGGCTCTCAAAATCTCGATCTCCTAGTTGGCGAATGCCTCAAGAGTTCTCATAATATCAATAATCACTTCGGTGTCTCTCTCAATTGAAGCGAGTATTTTTCGCAGATTCTGAGGCATTCGGAACAGGTAGGGAATCTCCGGGTTTTCGGACATCATGGATCGAAATGCCTGATTATGGAAAGATTACTCGTTGATGCGATGCATACCCACCTCGCTCCAAACGGTCTCATCGACAAAAACCAACATGGTTTTATGAAGGGGAGGTCTACCACCTCCCAGCTACTCGCTGTGATGCAAGACTGGGGTATGGCCCTATCGAGCAAAAAGCAAGTGCACTGCATTCATTATGACTTCACAAAAGCATTTGACAGGGTGAACCATAATCTACTCATCTCAAAACTATACAAGTTTTGTTTTGACCCCTCCATTATAAAATGATGTCAGGCCTATCTCTCCGAAAGGACGTTCCGACTCAGGATTGACGATGTTATCTCATCTCCTGGCAGCTGCACGTCAGGCGTGCCACAGGGATCGTGCTTGGGTCCGATGTTGTGGTCGATCTTCATCCTTGATCTGAAGGAAGTGATCCCGACCACAGTCAAATATAAACTATTCGCCTCAAGACGACCTCAAGGCTTACAATGAAATTGCATCCGAGGAAGACTGTGAGGCGCTACAGCGGGCCTCTGACCACATCGCCAGGTGGGCGATCGTGAACTGCTTGTCCCTATCTGAGCCCAAATGCCTGGTCCTGAAGACCGGACCAAATCCCTTCATCTATACGCTCAACGGAAACATTCTCAGGGAGGCGGAGTCCGTCAAAGACTTGGGAGTCATTGTCGATCCCTCTCTCTCGTTTCGACTCCACGTCGCTGAGTTGGTGAGGTCCACCAGTTCGGTCTGCAACCTCCTCCTCCGAGCATTCATCTCAAGGCGACCCGAGTTCTACATGGAGCTCTACCGCGCATTTGTTGTCTCACGGCTACTCTACTGTTCCCAAGTCTGGTCTCTGTATCTTCTAGTCGACATTGGACTCCTCGAGTCGGTGCAAAGACGCTTCGTTAGGATAAAGGCTACTCGCTGTGGTGTCGATCCAATGCAGATCGCCCCCGAGGCAATCGCCACACTCCATCGTGAGGCCGATATGCGCTTCTTTTCCAAAATTATCAAGACTGAAAGTGCCGACACCTTCTTCAGGGTTGACCTCAACCCGAGGCGGTCGGGAGTTACCTACTCCTCGAAGAAAATCGCTCCGAACAACACAGTCAACAACTTTTTCGCTTGGAGGGTCTCCAGATACCTCAGAAACCCCTAGGCCCCTCCATGCCTATATCAAATGCTATACACCCCCCCCCCTTTTTATGTAAATAAAAAGAGTTTATGATGATGATGATGATCCAATTTCTTCCTCGCAGATTTCTTGTCTTTCTCGCTGTCTCTCTGTTCATTTTGAACACAGTCTGAAGGTTTCACGGAAACTTTCTTCGAGTCTCGCGGTTTTTCCGTGTCCTTGCTCGAAGTTTTCTCCGGGGCAGCCTCTTTTGCGACATGGTCCGCGGCTTCTTCCACCTTCTCTTTGATATCTCGCGCGACCGAATTATTCGCGGCTTTCGATGGCGCATCCCTCGCCGTTTCGCGATCCCCGACGATCTCGCCGGCGGGACTGCGGGGTGGCGCAGGGCTCGGCGGGATTTTTTTCGCTTTTTCCGAAGCCGGCTCAGAGCACGATGGCGAGCACGGATCAGAGCTCGATCCGTGCTCATCGCACGAAGTCATAAGGCTCAGGAGTTACAGGACCGATGTAGAAGGGGCTAATCCTGTGACTCATCGCTCTCGATGCTCGAAACACTCTGCCCTCGTTCCAGAAGGGCTTTCTGATGCTGAAGACTGGCGATCAGGTCAAGTTTCTTCTTGCGACACTTGGCTGCCGCAATGCGATTCCTCGCCCTCCTGTCTTCGAGCTTCTCAGGAGTAGTGAGGTTGGCAGATCTCCGTCTGGCGCTCCGCGAAGATTGTGCGGGAGTCACATTGGATGTCCCCGCCACCGATGGAGGTTCTGCGCTTGTGCTGGGCACTCCTGAAGGTTCAGAGCTCGCGTTGGAATCTGAACCGTCGAGCTCTCCAGCGTGCGCCGACGCTGTCGCGCATGCCTGCAGCGTGGGGGATGTCCCAGATGTGTGCCTGGCGATGGATTCTCTGAGTTCGGCGATGAGCTCAATTTCTTCTGGCGACATTTTGCTGTAGCGATGCGATTCCTCGCTCGTTTGTCCTGGAGCTTGTCGAAGCTTGAGGGACCCGCGGGATTCGTTGATGAAGTTCCCGCAGCCTCTGCGGGAACGACCCTGCTAGGTTCGACGATCGTTCTCGCCGGTGAGGCACGTTCGATATTTCTCGGAACACGGCCGCTTGAGGTCTGAAAACATGGACAGCCCCGGCGAAAGCTGTCAGAGTCAGAGCTGCACGGCAGAGAAGGCGGAAGGAAGAAAATGCTACCGATGTGGAGCCGAAGGCCACATAGCCAAGGAGTGCAGCCTGACCACGGCACCGAACTACGGTCTACGATAATCCGCCGTAGGACGGAGCTACGGCTCCACGGAAGCGGCCGTAGTACGGCTATACGGGCTACGGCGGACGGTCGAAATACGGCACTACGGCGACCGGCCGTACTACGGCACTTCGGACTACGGTGTACGGTTCCGTAATTTTCTACGGAGCCAAGGTATGTCGCTGCCGTAGAATGCTACGGCTCAATGGTATGTGGACAACAGCCACTCCGACATCGGCCCGCACAAATCCGTTTCCTCTTCCTGTCGCTCTAACCTTTCCTTTCAGGTCCCTCGACACCCGTATGGCTGCATCTTCTCGCTGGTCGACCTCCCAATTGCCTCCTCGCATCCGAGCGCGGTTAGGTTCGCTCACAAGAGCGAGATCGTACCCGGTTGCTTCCAGTGTGTTCTCTAGTTTTAGGGGTCGGCAACCTCAGGGCCGCGGATCATTTTCTGGTGGGCCGCGGATCATTTTCTGGTGGGCCGCTGTGCCGACCCCTTCTGAAGCCTTTGGGCCGCAGCCCTGATCCGATGGGCCGCCGTTCCGACCCCTTCTGAAGCCTTTGGGCCGCGGCCCTGATCCGATCGGCCGCGGCCCTGATCCGATCGGCCGCCGTGCCGACCCCTTCGGAAACCTTTGGGCCGCGGCCCTGATCCGATCGGCCACCGTGCCGACCCCTTCGGAAACCTTCGGGCCGCGGCCCTGATCCGATGGGCCGCTTTGCCAACCCCTCTTCTAGTCTTTGGGCCGCGACCCTATACTCAGCAGACCCTATACACATTGGGCCGCGGCCCTTCGCACAATCGGCCGCGGCCCTGCTTCCCATTGGAGCCCCTATATCCGTAGACCGTAGACCCCGGGCCCTGACTCCATATTCAGTGGGCAACGGTCTGATTTTCTTTGAGCCCCTTCCCTCAAGCCATTCAGTCTATCCATTGATTCGACCGAGAGCCCGCGCAACGAAAGCAGAGCCGAGTGTTATGGTATAGTATTTCCGATCGGAGAGGAGCGCTCGGAAGAGAAAAGAAGAACAAGAAATCACGGGCATATTCGGATGGAACCTTTTAATTTTTCCCCAAAACTTCAGAAGTTTTCTCGCTCGAAGGGAGAGATCCTCAGTTAGTTTGCCTGATGGCACAGCACCTACGACAGCTACAAGATCAATTCGATGATTATCTCCCGAGCGAAGATCTTACCGACGATACATGGGTCGAGAATCCTTTTTACGTGGATATACATCGCATGCCAGATAAGTTGAGCGCCTCAGAGAAAGAAAGCCTCATCGAAGTAAGCTGCGACAATCTCCTACGCTCGATACACCATCAGAAAGGGACATCCGCGATGTGGACCGCAGCTGCGGTTCCATACGAGTCCCTCGCGATGAAAGCTCTGAAGAAGCTGGTTCCCTTCGCCACATCATACTTGTGCGAGTCGACATTTTCGCATATGGTTTTCGTCAAAACGAAGGAGCGAAGCCGGCAGACCGATGAGAATCTCGAAGCTCAGCTTCGGATCCAGGTATCGCGGATCGAACCGCGTTTCGAAGAGCTCATTGAGGATGTTCAGCAACAACGATCGCATTAAGAGCCTAAGCCAAGTTTGAGAATACTACGACGAATAAATTCAATCGTTTTCTCGTGTATCGCGTGATATAATGATTCAAGGTCTAAATGTCTGCAGAAGGGATATGCACGGAGTATGCGCGGAAAATGCACGAGACGCATGACGTTTGCAAAAGTATGCAGAAGAACGCAGAGAATGGAGAAGCGTGCATGAAGGTGTATAGAAATACATAGAAATGCATAAGTACGCGTTCGGATTCAGGGATTTGAAGGAAAGGCAGAAGCACGCAGAAGTGTGCAGAAGTCTGCAAAAATGTGCATGAAGGTCAAGGGATATGCAGACTCGAGCAGGGATCCGCGTTTACTCGTAGTCTCCGGCTTGGGCCGCGAGAAGAAAAAATTGGGCCGCGAGAAAAAAAGGTTGCCGATGCCTGCTCTAGAAGGTCGTGGGCCTCCTTACACCTGTTAGTGATGCATTGCAGAGCCTCGATCATCGTCATCATTTATTGGGTGTTTCTGCCCTGGTTCCTCTGCGTCCCTCTGAGTGTTTCGCTTAGTCGGTACTTCGCCCCCTACTCCCGTTCCCTCCGTTTCTTGGGCAGCATCCGGTACTTCTTCTTCCCCAGCTGCTGCCTCCATTCCTTCTTCCTTTGCGTGCTGGCCGGCGGGCGGTACTTCTTTTACCACAGCTGCCATTTCCGTCGCCTCTTCCTCGAACTCTGCCACCTCCTTGTGCTTGTTCCCTCTCCGCTTCCGTGGCCTTCTCTTCAGAGCCCCTTCGGCCTGTTCGGGCGGCTCCACCGCGTGTTTCAACTCCGGCTCTTTCTGCTTCGAACATCCCCGGGAGTCGGCTCGGTGTCCCTCAGCTCCACACACATATGTAGCACTTCGGGGCGGCGCTGCACTCCTTGGCTATGTGGCCTTCGGCTCCACATCGGTAGCATTTTCTTCCTTCCGCCTTCTCTGCCGTGCAGCTCTGGAAGACCTCCCCACCGTACTACGGTCTACGGGAATCTGCCGTACTCGGGAGTTACGGTCCTACGGCGTTACGGATTTTACGGGACCCCAACGTAGTCAGGCTTTGCGAACTACGGTGAGCTTCCGCCGAAGTTTTCTACGGCCATACGGACTACGGTAATGGACCGCACTACGGCTACACGGTCCACGGTGTCGTCCCGCTGTAGTTCTCTAAGGACGGTCTTGCCGCCTCACGAACATGAGGACCACATTCATCAAAATAGACGAACCTTATCTTTCGGGATACTATACAGAAGAGGATATATATGAATTCTTATTGCTTATTGTCGTCGTAGCGGAGATGGCAGCCTTCAGTTATGTCGTGGTCTTCGTTAAACTTTTGCCAGGGCTTACTAGAAAGGAAAATATCCTTCAGCAATAGGATATCGGCGAAACGCTCATCCGATTGACTTTCCTGGCAGTAACGCCGCGCATGGCGGGCTCTGCTGAATAGTCTTTCAGCCGGAACGCTCGTCGGCTGCACGGCGTTGATTGTTTCGATCATCTTTCCTGGGAGCACATCCACTCCCTTCTTGTGGAGTTTCATTAGCTCCTTCGTGGGTATTCCACTCGCGACTTTCTTGCCCTGATCAGCTCGCAACGAAATCTCGAACTCGTCCAGGTCATCGTCAGCCTGGTTCTCGGGCCAATCGGTCGCTCCGGTCACGGTGAACCCCCGGATCTCTGTCTCGATGTTGCCCGTGGAAGCGAATGAGGCGCACATTCTAGCCTCCCCCTCAAGAGCTGCCCTATCGCGAGCCTCCGCCAACCAAGTTTCGAGATCAGCTTCTTCACCCTTTTCGTGGATGTATCTCGACAATCGCATTGGCACACCCCTCCGCTGGAGGATGCGGAGATTAAGTCGGCGGACGAGCGTCCCCGCAAACTCTGATCTGTTTCCCTCAATTCACGCACCATCGCCTAAGACGAGAGAATATTTAGTCTCAAATAATAATTGGTCGAGTCTCGCCGGAAAGCCAGGGCTTCCTTGAGTGGAAGAAACTTACTTGCAAAGCACAATCAGCATTGTAAAAGGTGAGATTTTGCATTGATAGTCGCTTGCTGCACTGCTCGACATGTGAAAGAGCTCTGACTAATTCTGAGACTTCCAGAAGTTCAGTCTTCGTAAGAGGGAAGTCGGGGCCGAGAACTTTCCGGATGGCGTTTTCGAAAACGAGAAAATTGCGGAGCATTCGTAAAGTACTGTTCCAGCGTGATTTGACATCGAGGACGAGCTTCATCATGGTTGCTCCCCCCAATTCTTTGGCGACTGACATCAAGCGATCATTCTTCGTCCCACTTTTTTGAAATTTTCGAACTTCGTCGCGGATCTTCTTCACAAGGGTCGCCGCCGACCTAAATGTGAACCCGTCATCGCTGCCATCATCCGAATGTGCCGTTTCCGATTCCTCTGAGTCTCTGCTTTCGGAGGACTCTGAAGTAGTGGAACGGTTCTCTCTATCAAAATCTAAGAATCTCGAAATTATCGAATAATGAGCCAAGTGTTCTGGGAATGCTCTACCTCCGATGTCTCCGTTGTCGATTCCACCATTCTCAGCCGCATCTACCAATGTCAAGGGTTCCGTGTCTTGCTCATCGTCAGTCTCCGGAGTTTCCACTCTTGAATGTAGGGTTCCTGATATCTTCATGGCATCCAACACCGCCAAATGAAGCCCGTGAGCTAGACAAAGCTGATGATAAAACGGTTTTGGAGCTACGGCTCTCTCCAAGTTTCTCCCAAGTTTGCGCATTACAGAGGCTGCATCACTTTTCAACCCGCTTATATCCGTCAGCTCCAGGTCCAAGTTCGCCAGTGATGTCTCCAAAGCCTGCTCGATGGTCGAGACATTCGCTTGTTCGGTGAATCTGGACATTAAACTCACAGATTTTCTCCCGAGTTTCGGAACCGGACGAGAGCAGTGTAAAGTAACACCTGAATTATCCACCCGACTATTAGTCATGTGAATCATCCTATCTGCTAATCTGAAGATTCTCATCACCCCAAGCTTTGAGAGTAATTGTTTGTTCACTTCGTTTTCCTGGTTCGGACTATAACCCAAGAATCCCTTTTGCTGATGCGTCCACTCATCAGCAGTTAAGGTGAACACGGCTCCCGCATTCTTGAGCTCCGAAATGGCTTCCTCAATATCTTGTTTGACCCGTCTGTAAATCGAATGTTCCACTCGTCTGAGAGTCGACATAGCATGCATCCAATATATCCGTCGGAATAGAGACCGCGCGCGATTATGGCTCAGCTTAGTTCTCTCAGACTTACTCCGCCTCGCAGTCCAGGGTTCGTCGGGCTAATTGGTCACTCACAAGGCCCAGGCGAGCGAGCCAGAAGAGGCACCTCATGATCAATGAGCCGAAGACTTGGCACGGAATGTTCAGCACGGAGATCATGCTCGCAATGAGCCAACTCTTCAGTGCTAGCCTGTTCACAACGGGGCCGTCCTTCTCGTGCAAGGCTAGATGCCCCCGTAATCCGCTATAACTCTTCTTGTTCGTCGACAAGATCTTCGGGCACGATCTGCATCTCGCTTGAAGGTCACTGATTTTCTCAAAATGTTTCCAAATGGGATCTGACGCGCAAGACAAGAAAAAAATTAGAAACTGGTCTGTCATCCTCAAATACTTCAGACAAAATCATCTGACATGTCTGCATTACTGTCGAGTTGATCAGATCCTGAAGAGTCCGATTGGGATTGCGGATTCGCGTCGGTCAAGGGGGTTGCACAACTGATACTCTCTTCTCTCAGCGAATCTGAGAAACGAGAGGATTTTCATAGAGTACTCTCACTCGGTGGAGACCATCGGCTGTCTCACCGCGGAAGCATCGCATGCTTGAGATCCCATCACTCCACTAGCATCAGGAATTAGGGACTAACCATCGAGTCTTTGACGCTTTTTGGGCGGCATCTGATGGAGATCGAGAACATGAGTTCCCGAATTCTCGTCGATGGGAACTTTTTCAGAAGGCATGTCATCGGGCTCTCTATAATACTCGGGCTGAACTTACTATGGCTATCTTGCAGACACGGACAGTAAGTGATTCGTGTATTCTTGAACTATTGAAGACTGGGGGCTCTACTTGTCGACTCTTACGAAGCTCACACGATGACCGTAATGCCGAGCTCACTTTGGGATATGGTCGCGATTTCGAATTTTGACTGAGCAGATACGAGGTGCCGATGCGGACATTTGCATGATCGCTCTGCGCATCGACTGACCAAGCTAATCTCCGAGTCTTTATCATGTCGCTATTTTGATACGCGAAACCTTTGGAGGATGAATTCCACTTCGTTTCGGGATGGAATTTTGATGAATCCGCGGAGGGATATCGATGGAGTAGTCAACGGATTCGGAATTGAGGAACTCAAGCCGAGAGAAATTGCGGATATTTCGATCGATCCTAACGACTCGGATAAAGAGCCGCTACAAGGATATCGATTTGAAGTTGAAGCCTGCCTTGCCTGGCGTTATGTTTGAGATTCGAGAATGATGTTCGAGTTTTGGATCTTCGGCGTCATGATAGCACGCTCGGGAGCTGGGGATCTTAATCGTCTAATTACAATTTTCGAATCTTCGCAAGCCTCGGGGTGGTCTCTTAGCATCGACGTCCTGAGAAGTTTCTATATTCTCCATCCTCCGGTCAGATATCATTGATGACCTGATGATGACCCATGACTCATGACTTCTCCTAATTCTTCTTGCAATCGCACTTCCCAACGACAACGCTGTCACAACAGAATGCAAGAGCTTGATGCTCTTCAAACAAATATCAAATAGTCAAGTTTTCCTCAATCTACTGCGTCAAATCCACCTCGGACTGGTCTCCGCATGTATTCGGAGAGCCGCTTCGAGGGGAAAAGTCTATGGAGCCTGGGCTCGACTCCGCCAATACTCCTCGACATGCGGACTATGAGGATCGCTCGCCTCAGTTCGCTGCGCCGTAGAAAACTACGGCGACTTTTCACCGTAGTCCGTAGCGCCGTACTAAGGCGCATCTCCGTAGTCCGTAGAGCCGTAGTACGGCCGATTTCCGGAGACCGTACTACGGTGGGGAGGTCTATTAAGACCACGGCACCGTACTACGGTCTACGATAATCCGCCGTAGTACGGAGCTACGGCTCTACGGAAGCGGCCGTAGTACGGCTAGACGGGCTTCGGCGGACGGTCGAAATACGGCACTAGGGCGACCGGCCGTACTACGGCACTACGGACTACGGTGTACGGTTTCGTAATTTTCTACGGAGCCAGGGTATGTCGCTGCCGTAGGATGCTACGGCTCCACGGTATGTCGCCGCCGTGATTTTGCGAGGCGTTACGGAAACTCCTCGGTATATCGCGCGACCGAACTATTCGCGGCTTTCGATAGCGCATCCCTCGCCGTTTCGCGATCCCCGACGATCTCGCCGGCGGGACTGCGGGGTGGCGCAGGGCTCGGCGGGATTTTTTTTGCTTTTTCCGAAGCCAGCGCTCAGCCTCGTTGATAATTTTTCCTCCCTAGAAGAGAGAGCCGACGTTGAGCCAGAGGGACACGACGAGGGAAGCGAGAAGCCCCACGGTGGCGCCTGAAAAAAAAAAGAGTTCATCACAATGACCCAGAGTCTGATGGTCAACAATACCGACAACGATCCATAGTTCTTGGAATCAATTCACTATCAAGCTTCCGGTCTCCGCTGATTTGACTGAGTCCTCGGGCATATGTACATACCCGTCGAGTTGACGAATGGGAGGAACATGGCAACGGAGAAGACCCCCAACAGAGGACCGCCCAATCCGGAGTTTATGACATCGGTCGCTTTCAACACGTCGCCCATACTCTGAGCGAAGAGTACGAGGAGCATGGAAAGGATGCCACAAGCGACTCCTGGGAAGTAGACGAAAATTTAGTCCCCGCTGAACTTCATCGATTCCCTTCATGGAGGGATCAGGCGATTGGGGAAAACCTGCCTCCGCGCTCACTCACCGAGGGCGTTGATTATACGAGCGCCGGTCTCGTTGGAGATCTTGGGCCACATCAAACAGATGATGTCCATGTAGCAGACGTTCGCCAGCGAATTGATAGCCGATGATATCGAACTGTGAAGATAAGCGAATGCTCACCGTCTCGATCTCCTGTTTCTTTCTCGATCATTTGTTGGAGTCGATATTGATCCATATCGATGTGGAACTCTGTCAAACCACAAAAGTCAGCTCACCTACGCGAGGCGGCGAAAATCCCAGTAGCGAATACGCCTGGGAGGCCTCTGGTCTCCCCCAAGACGACCATCACGAAGTGCGGGAGGAGCTCGTCATGGCTGCTGATCAATTTCGTCGCGACGGGATCACATCCGTGGAAGAATGCGTACGTCATTAATCCCGAGAAGCAAGAAAACATCAGGACGATTGCCAGCAGCGGGAGATTTCCCCAGACAACCCTAAAAAGGATGATCAAAGTCTCAGATGCATTGCCCATCGTTCATGTCTATCGGCCTTGTCGGTGATTTTCTAAAAATCCACTTACAGCTTGGCTCTTGGCAGTGATGATACGGTGTGGTACCTAAGAACCATCATTTAGTTCGTAGCGTAAGAAGCCAAGTTGGAGAATGAGCTCCCGATGACGAGACCCCAGATCGAGTGCCGTACTGTCGGATTAGGATCAGTCCTGGAAATGCGTGGTTTAGTTCATCGATCAAGGTTTGCTCATTCGAGATTCCGAGCTTTTAATTTCTAGCTCCTAATATCGACAGTTCCGCAATGGAATACGAGGCTTCCACTTACTCGTCGAAGTGGATGCGATCTCCTTTCATCGCGATGTCCCACACGACAGCGAGGCCTCCGACCCGATCGATGCCGACGACGACAATGATCATCAGGGCGATGATCATGCATACGGCCTGAACGAAAAATCAGAGATCAGTCTCCATTCCACATTCTGCGACCGAGAGTCTAGGAAGCTGAGCTTGGTCGATGTCCAAAAGAGAAGAATATGCCTACAATTCGGAGCGTCGACTTACCTGGAAAGTGTCTGTGTAGACCACAGCCTTTATTCCGCCGACCGATGTGTAGATGGTGCAAACCACACCGATGGCAATCAGCGCTGTCCAGATTCCCATACCCGTCACTGAAAGTATGCGGAAAACCGTATTCAACGTGTTCTATGCTCGAATCTTCGCGGTGATGGTTTCGTACACAGATATAGATATTCCTCAGTCATTGCATACCATTCGACAACGCCAACGCGGGGGCATAGAGCTGGATGGCGATGTAGATCAACGTCTGCGCTATGTAGGCCACCACCGCAAGAATGCGGAGAGTACGATTGAAGCGGCGCTCCAAGTACTGAAACGATATTCGTTGCTGAAGTTCATTGATTCGCTTTCATAATTTTTCCCAAGCTTAGCTGTTAACAAACAAACCTCGTAGCAGCTCAGCGTTCCGCTGTTGTAGAACACTGGCATGAACAGGTGCGCTGTGAAGGGTATGGTTATTACGTACGACAGCAATGTAAACATGTACATTGTGCCGTACTGGTAGACCTCGGCCACGTTCCCTGCGGAGATCAAGGATCCTGAGTCGGAATCGAGAGGCTGCGGAGTGAAGAGCTCCTCCCGAATATCGCTCGTTGGGAACCGCATTCGACAATCCTTTGAGCGCGATGCCCGAGGCGGCTTACCGAGGATGAATGACGCCGATATGAATGACGCCATCAGCGACGTGCTCGCCAGTATTGGCGGCAGGCGGCCATCTGCCACCAACAACTGCCGGGTCGTGTTTTGCGGCCCGCCGTTGAATGCGCAGTACAGTCCCAGCGCACCGGACATCGCCAGCATGGCGATGAAAATCCCGCAGTCGAGCAGGCTGAACCTTCATTTACGAAAATATCGGAGTCAGCTCTCCATTGGAGGTCCAAATGAGTATTGTTATCCATACATGTTTTCTACAGAGGAAGATATAAGCCGACCTGCCGACGAGCTCTTCACGGGCGATGACTCCGAAGTCCATGTCGCGTCAATAAGACTCGAGTGAGACCTGAAAGAAAAACCAATACTGAGGAACTCCGCTCGAAGAAGTGAATCCATTGCGCGGAGCCAGTGGCCAACCAAAGGATTCATGATCCGAGAGCCTTTGCCTTCAGCTCCGCGGCCTACTAGAATGGGATCGGTAGCTCGATTTCCGCCCCCATTGAGAAAAGTGCTCCAGGTGAGAAGTCGCTGCCGGCTCATTGACCAGAATACGTCCCGTTTTCCAAAGCCCATTTTTTTCGACAGAAAAAATCTGGTCTCGGTCCCTCGATCGGCCTCTTCGAGAAGTGAGGAAAAATCACAATCATTATCATGATTTTGATTAAAAATCATACACGAGATTTCCATGATTTTAATTATGATTTTAGTCAAAATCATAGTCAAAATCACGGGAAAATCACAGGAAAAATCACAGGATTGGCGCAGAAACAATTATATTGGTCGAGCTATATATGTAGTCGGGGGTTTTTGGGGTCGCTGATCACGATTCTGACATCAGATTCCCCATACCGGCCGAAGATGATACACTAGCCTCGGAAACAGTTGATGGAACGTATCATACAATTCACAAACTCTACCGGGCTCGGCGTCGTGGAGGAGCCGATAAGCGATTACGAATGCCTCGGGAAATCTAACCGGATGAGATATCCTAGGTCCGATTCCGCCAAAAGGATTTTCCCTACCCTTTGCAAACGCAATAGACGAGGTTCTGGTGGCTGAAGGCTTTGAGATAATCAGAGGGGGGAGCAGGGAAAATAACAGGTCTATTGGACGCAGAATCACATGGTCTCCCAAGAGACGGGTCGAGAACTTCGTTTCTCACCGCAGCCGACACTTTCCACAGCTGCCACCCGCAGCACCAATAGCTTATGGAGTGGAGAGGGGAGATTCGGATTTCAGCGTGAAGAAACCTCCGATATCCCATCTTGTTAAGTCATTCACGACGTCGCGTCCTGTGTGAGAAAGCCAATTTAAAGGAGCTCTCTCCATGCTCTCTCATCTTCGTCGAACAGTTCCAGCCGAGAAGAGAGGATTCTCCAAGCTCATGTGCTAGAAGCGTGAGAGAATGACTATTCGTGTTTAAAACAAAACCCTCGAAATCACAATCAGAGTAAGCATTCAGAAACACCATCGGAAGAATGTATCTCTGAATGAAACTCGAGCTCCCTCCCGATAATCTACCGGAAGGAATCGATTCGTCTAGTTCAAGAGTACCGCATGAGAGCAACGCTGCTTCCTCAACAAGCTAGAATATTGAAAGCTGAAATTGCGTCGAGCCAATGTGCATGCTATGTCATGCTAGGAATGAGAACCACAGAGCCCCTAGAAAATCTTTTTTTTCCTGGCCAACGATTGAGTCAATTGGAAAGACAATTGAAATGCCGTAGAATGACTCGCTGCTCAAATTTCTCGTCGCTAAGACGGTTTGACTTCGGCGCATTGACCATGGTGGCGTATGAAAATAAGCGCTCGGCCTGAGCGCTGGAAGGCGGCTGCGTATTATACTCTCGGAAGATTGCGCTGATTATTGGATGCCTGTCCAGCATGCTGAGTTCCGGGTCGGCGTCGTTCAAGTACTCGCCCAAGATCCTGTCCGATGAATCCACAGGCGCTGCCGATGAAGTTCCCGGGAAATCATCGGCCAAATTGAAAAAATCGTCCGTTTCCATCGGTGCAGGCAATTCTTGGGCTTCTTCAGGCGTGGATTGGCGATCGCGAATGAGCTGCTTGAATCGGATGCGGAGGTATAGACTCTCCTCTGTGGGAATGTGCCGCAGGAGCCATCTTTTAAACAAAGGCATGGACAGTGTTGCGATTGCACATTTCTGGCCTGCCGTTGTACGGATATTGAAGATGTCTTTGAAGTGGTCGCTCACGCTCTGAAGCAAACCTTCGGCAACAGGTCGGAGAATTCGAAGGCTTGTTTCAGTGACCTCTCCCAGTTGCTTCGCTACCATGATCAGAGAGGGCAGGAGTGTCCCGTAATGAGCGAACTTCTCGCCTTGAACTTACCCAAGGCGACGGCGATCGGCTCCAAGCAATTAAGGTATTCCTGTATATGGGAGAAATCGCTTTCGTTCAGGTTATCCGGGAGCTGTAGGCTGGCCATCAAGGCGGGCATTTTTTCCTTCACCCCGAGGAGAGCCTTGAGAGAATCATACAAACTATTCCAACGGGTAGGCACCGGCCGAGGTAGGCTCCTACCCGTTACGGACTGTATGATTTCAGCGGACTTCGGCTGCCGGCTCAGGCCCCACAGCTTGTTGCACTTATTGTTAGCCATTACACTCCCATGCAGTTCTCGTGATATCGTGATACAGTGCTGTAGGGTCTTTGCCTATCCCCATCTTACACGTAGCATTAAGTGTCTATATAAATGAGTGTTGTCATAGAATAAACGACGAAGTACTACTCTTCTCGAACTCTACATTGGCGCAGTCGACTAATCTTGTGAGATGGCTCCTCCCGAAAACCAAGCTAGAGATCCTCTGCTGGAGAAAATCGTAGAGGCTCTCCGGTTGTTAAGCTCAGAAAGACGAGAGACAGGTTCTCGGGAAACGGACAGAGCCGTCGCTCTCACAAACGCTCTGACTTTGATTGGCACTTTCGAATATGATCCGGATAATGGAGCAACATTCCAACGATGGTTCGCAAAGAACGAACAGAATTTTCAAACTCTATGTGTCTCTGATACAGAACGACGCCAGTTACTGCTGCGCGTTCTGGGCAAAAGTGAGTACACCCAATTGCGGGGTAGGACCTCCCCGAATGAGCCCGAAAGTTTGGAATATTCTGTCCTCATCGACATATTGAAGCAGGGGCGTACGCAGGGGGGGCTAAAGGGGCTATAGCCCCCTCCCAGATGGTTTCTTCGTAATGCTGAAGTATAAGAGCGAATCGCCATATTGGATTTCAGCCCCATGCGGAGACCTGATCTAGCCCCCCCCAAGAAAAATCCTGCGTACGCCAAATCCTGTATTGAAGGATATGTTCACCACTGCAAAGTCACTGTTTCGTCGCCGCTTCGAGACATTGTTACAAGATCGCCTTCCTCCTGGGAAGACCGCTGAGCAGATCGCTAGCCATGCCGTTCTCAGAGCAGATGACTTCGAGCTAAGTAACTTCACATTGGATGCTCTTCGAATCTTCATCATGCTCCTCTCGGTCTCTGATCCCTCATATCAAGGCATACGCAATGTTATCATCAAGTCAGTCGATGATAAACCTTCAATCAGTGCCGAGGAAGTTCGACTGAACATGAAGAGGTACGAAACACGTACGAGCGCTGCTAAGCTCAATTACGGAGCAATCAAGGACGAATCTGGTCCTACCGTCTTCGCGACCACATCAAAGAAACCGTCGAGAAAGCCGTCAAGACGCCCTCAAGAAGCCAACCGGCAGACATCGAAAGGCTCCCTTGTTTGCGGGGGTTGCCTATATATATTATATATGTCTATATAAATGAGTGTTGTCATAGAATAAACGACGAAGTACTACTCTTCTCGAACTCTACAAGTGCCCTCAAAAATCTTGCGTAATTCCATGTCATTTCTGTGCATACCTGTAGCCTTTGTCTTCAATCTTTCTCTGCGCTGTTCACAGTTCCCGTCAGTTTTCAAGGAAGCTATTGTCCTTCCCTTATACAAAGGGAAGGGGGAACGTGACGACCCTTCGAACTTCCGGCCTATCAGCACTACTCTATTCCTAGCCAAACTGCTCGAAAAGTGTGTTCTTCGTCAACTTCATTGCTTCCTGGCTACGATTGACTATATATCTCCTCACCAACACGGCTTTGTCGGTGGCAGATCGACTGAGTCTGCGCTCCTTGAGGTCCTCCAGTACATCCACGATGCTTGGGACTCTGGGCTCCACGTCGTTGGTGTTTTCCTTGATCTCTCCAAGGCGTTCGACTGTCTGAATCATGATTTGCTCCTCCGTACGCTGGCCAACCTTGGCTTCGTCTCCTCTTCAATTGACTGGTTTAGGTCTTATCTGGCAGACCGTAAAATCGTGGTCTCGTTGAATGGAGCTACATATAGAGACTACAATGCACGGCTGATCTAGGAGGAATCAATGTGCACTCCAGATGCTCAGAGCGCTTCCGGTGTGCACATTGATTTGATAGAATAATTATGGGAGTTCGAGTGTGGATAGTCGTCGCACAATCGCGCCAATGGTTTGTGCGCATTTTTCCTTGTTCGAGATAAGTCAGTTATGCTCCCTCCGTATCCAGCCGATATCGGAAAAAGCTCGTAATCATGATCAGCGACCCCAAGTTACCCCGACTACGGAAGAAACTTGACCGAAATAATCGTTTTCACATCGATCTTATTATTTTCCCTGTGACTAAAACCCAAACATGATGATTTCATGATTTTGATTATGATTTGGCTGGAAATCATAATCACGGTTATGATATTCTCAAGTGTATGATTTTGAATATGATTTTAGTCATAATCATAGTCATGATTATGATTTTGCCCAACGTATGACTGTGCACTGCACAGTGATACGCGAAAGCGAATATACATACCTCAACGATTACGTTCCCCTCCTGGCCTTAGTCTCAGTGAAATTCGCCCCATTAATTCTACCCATCCCAGTTCCCGAATTATTTTGGTCGATGATTTCTATGTCCACAACTCCGCACGGCTTCAACACTCCGAAGTTATTAATGCTGCATGCCGTCCGAAAGTCCCGGAACGCCGAGCAACAGGTCAGCGAGGACCGACACCCCTGATGTCTTCGGCGAGTTCGGAATCCCCGCCTACAGCCGCGTGGACCCCGAAGGAGCGGGGGTTCCGGGGTGAAGCCTATCAATTGAAGAATGAAAATTACCGGAGGCAAAGAGAAAGGGCGAAAAGCCATGAAGGATTTCGGAATGCATTACGGGCGTTCTTCCGAGAGAGGGTTCTTCAACTCGCCCCGGAGTCACCCATATAAAGCGAACTCCGAGCGTTTGAGTCATTCATCGGAGATTCATCAACATCTCGGAGTCCAGCTCTACTCGTGAACATGCGTCACCCAAATCCTCATCGCGATCTGCCCTCCGAGCCAGACGCTATCGATAAGTTTGTGGAGCACCTGGACTCTCTGGCAGAAGATGAGGAGGAGCATTTCCGCCGCAGGAGGCCTTTGATGGGCTCTGGGAGCTCAAATTCCTAGCTGACATGCGGCTCCCGAACCCACAGGAGAGGGACCTCCTCCCGCCGTTGGACGTAGCGGACCTCGGGACTTTGGGAGGGGTAGAGCTGCCCGAGAGGAAGCGCTCGGCCGATCAGGTGCACGACGACCGGCCAGCGAAGCGAGGGAAGATCCTCATCGACCTCGAGCAGGAGGAAAACGGAGCCCAGCCGGGACCAGCTCAGATCGAGGTTCCGGAACCCTGCGTGATCGATCTGACGCAGGATGATGAGTCCGAAGTCCCAGCTTCGGCAGCTGAAGAAATCATTGTCATCGATGATGATAAGGTCGACGACGATGGGCCTTACAGGCCCATAACTTCATCGGTCTCTGGCTTCTGAGGGTACCCCATAGAAGCAAGTTATATACGCATAAGTCTCGGGATATCGTGTCCTGGGCATATTCAATGTGCCTGATGAGAATAAAGCATGATAAGTTGATGCCTATCAAAATGGTTTTCAGTATTCCCTTCAACTCCGTAGGACGGAAAAGAGACTCACAGTTACAGCGGAGCGGGACTTCTCTGTGCTTCACGAGCTCATTCCCGGGAGGGAATTTCCTGCCAAGCCTCGGCTTGCCCTCGAGAAGAGAACGTCGAACGTGTGAGTCATTTATCGAGGATTCGACCTTTTCCGAATCGACTTCAGTCATCGCGAAGATGCGTCAGGCGAATCCATATCGCGGTCTGCTTTCCGCGTCGGATGACCCTCTCGAGGAGTCCATGGAATACCTGATGGAAGATAATGAGGAGAACTCTTCATTTCAGAAGGCCGACGATAAGCGACTGGGTAATGAATTTCTGGCCCGAATTCCGCTTCCGGACGCACGGGCTTGGAATGGTGCAATCCTGGAGGACCTTCGCCCCAAAATGTGTCAGACCGTACGTTGTATGAAGAGAGGCTGGTCGGAAGGAAGCGATGGGTCCGAGGTACTACCTCTTTCCAGGCTCGACGACCTTTCTCCCATAACCTCACCGAAACTCAAACAAGTCCTATCGACTCTTCCCAGCTCCATTATCCCTACTGTTGATCACACATGAATCGTCCCGCACTAGAGGTGGCTCATACGTCGTGTGCCTTTGTCGGATCCAATCATGATCATGTATGCTGCCACATGCCCACATTGGAATCCTCTTCTTTTGACGACCTCTGTCGCGAACCCCTTTCGATCGCGGGTGCCCCAAGGAAATACACCAGATTCTCGGAGACCGCGGTCGTCAAGCCACGTGGGTTCGGCTTCGCTCTGCTCTCAGCGACGGCTGCCAGTGGTGCGCTACCTGTTGGTTGCGTGCACGTCGCCACCCGTGGCTGTCCGTCCCATGTTTTCCGACCCACGCTGTTGGCCCGACGACCCGACTTTTATTGAACGTTTATTTCTCGATCGGTATCCGCCACACTCCCGCCAAATTACGGATTCAGTCGAACGTCCGGAATATATTATATATTATATAGGATATAACAAGTGACTTTTACATTCTGATTCGGACCTCGATGAACCGTAATTTACGTTGGCTGTCTGTGTTCTACCGACTACGATTTACCTAAGT